CGTTACTCATTGAATCGTCGCACCAACATAACTTTACAGCTAAATTGGTTTCTCCAAGCTTATCTATTATGAAAATGTTATATCGGCTGACAACAGTTTCGGCGCAATGTTTCCACAGTCAGTTTTACTGACGCAAGACATAATTTAACAGCTAATATTGCATTGAACTCCTTATTAGTTATCTCAACTTTGGACTCATGGGCAATCAGTGACTCGCGAATGCAATTATTTAACTTTACGAAACGTTTGAGCACTGTGTGCAAGCTACTCCAGAGAGTTTTGGAGCCAAGTTTTAGTGAAAGGTCTTTATCAAATTTTTTTATTGTGCGTTTTTGAATTTTGACCATTTTTTTGTCGGAGAAGGGCGAATTAATTTCACAACGGTGACGTATCTTTTTGATTAACGGTTGCAAATCATCAATCGTTCTCTTTACTCATAACAACTTGAAAGCCGCCAGAAAAATCTTCATCATTATTGGTTTTGTTTGTGTCATTGTCAGTTTTTTTATCTTAGTAATTGCAGATTAAGCTTCATCATAATTCAACATAAACCAAAAATTCTAGCTAATCTAAGAAGCTTCGTCAACTCGTACGCCGGTGCTGAACTCTTTGAATACTTTTTAGAACATTTTATGTTTTTCTGGATATTAAAGTAATTCCATCTATTAGACATAAAATATTGATTTGCAGTTCTTAATTCAAAATGCATAAATTTTTTTTAGTAAGCGTAACTATAATTGCTATTAATTCAATAACTTTACATGTAATACCTTAACTAAACGACTTCAAACTTTTCAGTGCAAAACATGTGTTCTACATTAAAGCGAGTGACGCAATGGTAATATTTTTATTCAGTGCTTCATTAATAGAAGGAATTCAAAATTTTACTTTTAAATTAAAAAAATTCATTTTTAACTAAATATTTTTAACATTGATTTTTTTTTTGAAAAAATTCAATTAAACAACTTATTATTTTTTTAATTCTAATCTCTTTAACAAGGGTGATTTCATACTCTCATTACAAGATTAATGAGCCCGGTGGGAAATGAGCAAGCAACTAGTCAGTGAACAGCTAGCTAATCACTACCTATGGATAAAAGACGCGTTTAAGACGTATAAATACGTATAATACTTGTTTAAGACGTTTTAAACACGTCTTTTGTCATTTAGCTATCTTTATCCTACCGGAAGCATTGTTTTATCGCGGCTAGAAGTTATAGGTATTTCATTTACTTTCGTATTTCACATAAAGAAGGCAATAGTACCTGCTATATCACAATCCCTCTACATATCATTTAGGAGAGCTGCCAGAATTATGGAAATCTGCAAACATTACACCACTTTTTAAAAAAGAAGACAAGAAAGATCCACTCAACTATAGACCTATCTCCTTAACATCGATACCAAGTAAGATAGTAGAGAAAATAATTAGAAAAAAACTGATAATTTATATAACAGAAAACAATCTGTTAACGTCTCAACAACATGGATTTGTACAAAATAAAGGGTGCCTAACAAACCTATTAGAAACGTTCGATATTATTACAACTGAAATTGAAAATGGTTATCCAGTTGATATATTGTTCCTAGATTTTGCAAAGGCGTTCGATAAGGTGCCCCACTATCCAATTATACATAAAATTTCTAACTATGGAGTTTAAGGCAATATTTTAAATTGGATTGATTCTTTTTTAAAAAACAGAAAAGAACAACAAAGAGTGGTAATGGGTGAAGTTGTATCAGATTGGTGCGAGGTTTATAGTGTTGTACCACAGGGCTCTGTATTAGGTCCTCTTCTTTTTCTGCTATATATCAATGATTTTCCCCAATGTATCTCAAGACGTTTAAGAGGAGATCTCATTGCTTTCTTCAAATTAACAACTGGGATTGATAAGATATTGTGGTATAAAGAGCCTAATAAAGCTTCTTTCCAGAGACTTTGAGGTCATTCAATGAAATTTGAAAGAGAATTTGCAAAAACAATACCGAGACATAATTTTTTTACAAACAGAGTGATACCTCATTGGAATGCTTTATCTGAAAAAGTGGTTTCTGCAATGGCAGTAAATTCTTTTAAAGCTAGACTAGATAAACATCTGTAAACGGCTGTTAAAGTATAAATTTTAAACTTTATGCTCCGCGACAATCGTCGTTACAGCAGTTTGTATTACTATTACTATTAGTCGGGTGGACACGGAAAAATCCGGTCAACTTTAAATTGAGATTTCTCTAAAACCATAAATGCTTTTTATTTCAATTTTTTTTATTATTAAATGTGTTTACATAAATTAGAGTTTCAACTTAATTTTAAGGGGCTCGATGGGTTGCTTGGCAAGAATCGAACTTTATAGCGGGTTGATGCCATCATTTTACAGATTTTTTCTTTTTTCATCATATTGGTGGCATTAATCCACTCTTTTTGGAAGTCCTTATTACAATTTGTTACTCCACCTGTCTTACGAAGAACTCCTTTAACTATTGCCCAAAAATCTTCAATCTTGCGCTCTACAGGATGATTTGGAGGATTCGCATCTTTAGGAACAATTTTCACATTATTATCTTTGCACCACTGTAAAACTTTTTTAGAATAGTGAGAGGCAGCAAGATCGGGCCAAAAGAGACATTGGTATTTGTGTTTTTTTATAAAAGGCAAAAGTCTTTTTTGGAAGCATTCTTTGATGCAGTCAAGGTCTTTTTAGTGACAAAACAAGAGGACTGCATACCACAGCTACAAATTGCTTGCAACACAAGGAACTTGGATGCAAATTTTTCTCGTTGAATATATTTAAATTGATCATCGACAGGTTTATCTTTGTTTTCATAGTAAAACTGTCGACCAGGAAGTTGTGAAAAATTCGCTTTGCAATACGTTTTGTCGTCTTCAATTATGCACATATTTTTATCAGCCATTATTTTAACCAACTTCTTTGCGCGTCGAATTCCTTTAATTTCACAATTTAAGCTTCTCTTAGGTGTATTTTTTTATGAAATGCTTTAATTCCAGCACTTTTAAGTACTTTTTTATATAAGAACGAGAAGTCTTAAATTTTCTTGCTAGATCTCGCTGTGACTGATTTGGATTTCTTGCTATTGAACGTAAAATCGACTTTACCTTTTTGGGTTAATGGAAAGTTTTCTTTCTTCTACTTCCAAGTTTTCTTTCGAAGCTTTGAGTAGTCTTGAACTTGTTTATAATATCTATGACTGTAGATTTTGGGACATTTGTGCGTTTAGCAATCAAGCGATAGGAAGTCGATGGATTTTTGCAAAAAAAAATCACAACTTTTTTACGCAGCTCAACTTGTTTTTAAAACATTTTGCAAATCTAAAACAACAATCTAAAACAATCTAAAACATCTTGGTTTCCTTTGGGATAATAAGAACAAAAAAATGACAGCAACACTCCAAAAACAAAATATAACTGAACGTGTAACGCAATTTTTATCTGTTGCAAAAGGTCTTATAAGAAATGGACTTCGCTTTTGCCAGCCTGCTACCATAGTTCATTTATTTAATTCTTTAGCTGTTCCAACGTTGTTATACGGATTAGAACTGTGTGGAAGCAGCAATAAGTTTCTAAATAGCATTGATATAGCTGGACGATCTGTCTTAAAATCCTTCTTTAATATTTCAAAGCAAAGTAGAAATTATCTACATTCTTATTTCAAAGTAGACGCTGTGTCAGACATTCTTTTTCGCAACAAGTTAAATCTATTTATCAGGCTTTTAAACAACCCCATATGTTACTCGATTATACGGACTCAGATGCCTTTAATGAATCAACGATCATTTGTGGGTGAGGTAATGATAATGTGTAAGAAAGCTGATATAAACATGCTCCAATTTATGATCGAGGGTAAGAAAATTATAATTGCACGCCCTCAGGAAGCATTGGAGGCCAATGTTGCGGCGATCTTAAAACAATCGTTCCAACACTGGAATTTAAAGGAACAAAGAGAAGTATTTAGAACGCTGATGGAGGAAAACATTCCAAGAACGATGCAAGAAAATACTTAAATGTGCTTTGTTTTTTTTTAATACTTTTACCTATAGTTTATGTAATTATTGGGTGTTTAAAAGAATAAATATATAAATCATTAATTTGTAAACAAAAATTTATCAGCACCATTTAAGGTAAGGAAGTAAGGTTTAATTAAAAAAAAATTAAATAAAAAGCATTTGTGGTTTTGGAGAAATCTCAATTTAAAGATGACCGGATTTTTCCGTGTCCACCCGATACTATTACTATATATTTTTAATACCAGTATTGAGCCTAATCAACACCGGTATTTTGGTACTTGAAAATGTCCGGATGTTCCGGATCGGTACAATCGGTATAGGAAGCACTGTTTGCTCGGTATGGCATAAATAACCATTATGTCAGCTTGGGTTTTTTTTATTATTATTTTTTTTTTATTTGTATTATGCACATATAAGTGTAGTAAGTCTAGTAGAAGCTGAAATGAAATAAAAGTTTAAAAACGTGAAACAAAATTAGAAATTGTTAAATATACCATCATTCTGTTAAACATATCAGCACTCTATTTAGTGGATAACGTTTTTACTAATATCTTTTTTTAATATTCATTTGCTTATAAAAAAATCCTGTAAAAATAACTTTTTTTTTCTTCTGATTTTCGTTAAACAAAAAAAAATGTTTCTTTGCATTCAAAAGTAATTAATAGCAGTTCATACCTGAAATACCTGTGTCTATTAAACAGCATTACTAATCAAAATATTTAGTACAGTTTAATTCTTTTGAAAAATATTTTTAATTTCTTTTTGATTAAAACTAAAATCAATTTTAATGATTAACTATGGATTAAAACCTCCTCATTTTTGTTGTTGAACAAGATTCTAGTAAAGAATAGCAACCCTTTGAATGACTAATGTAAAAAATAAAAGTAATCAGAACCTCATTAAAAAAAATTCAAAATTCAAGAAGTCCAAGAAATCAACAATTAACCCAAAATTCACAGTAAATTTGCATTCCAAAGTTTTCACCAAGGCAATGTTGGTATAATTGGATTTAAACCAGTATTTTTTATTGAATGTGCAACCATAGGAGATGCTAAAAAACTTATAAAATCTTTAGATGCTTTTATATTTAAAGCATTGCTCATAATGCCAGCTGAAAAAACAGTACAGTGTTGAACTTCACTTGGGATTTCTCCAATGAACTCAACACCAGGAATTGCAATTAATTCACTGACTTGTTGAAAACTAATCTCAGCATCGCTTCTAGCAACAACATGTCCGACTCTCTCACTAAATATTTTTTTTGTTTTTGCCCTCATTTCATCAGCGATACCAAGTTTAGGAAAAAGATTAGTTAGTATATATGTGCCACTAGCACTAGCAGAACATGCTATTGAATTTGCATTTAGTAGGGTGTGTTTAAAGCTTTCCACAGTTTTTATATCAGGTTTGGGCGAGCCAGTTTTAACTACGGCTCCAATTACTGAAGTAACCAAGTCAGCACGTGTTTCTGCTTTAACCAAACCATTCTGAATAAAATTTTCTAATGCTGACGAAGCAAGAATGATAATATCAAACATTTCATTTCTGTTAAGTCTAGCTGGAATTGAGTCGGGAGCTCCACCCATCGATGAACCGTATGAAATTTTAACTTTAAAAGGAAATTGTTTTTCAAATTTTGGGGCTAACAGTTTTAATGCTTCAGCAAATCCACCTGATGTGATAACATTTAGATCTTCGATGGTCATTTCTATTGACGATTGTTGACAAGATTTAAGACATTAAAAGATTTAGCAACCTAGCAAAAAAAAAAAAAAATAGAATAATAAGTATGAGCAAGCAAGATTATATATATATACATAGACACAGATGTGTATATATATATATATACATATATACATATATATATATATATATATATATATACTATATATATATATATATATATATATATATATATATATATATATATATATATATATATATATATATATATATATATATATATATATATATATATATATATATATATATATATGTATATATATATATATATGTATATATATATATATGTATATATATATGTATATATATATATATTTATATATATATATATATATATATATATATATATATATATATATATATATATATATATATATATATATATATATATATATATATATATATATATATATATATATATATATATATATATATATATATATATATTAGGGTGGATTGATTTTCATAGCAAAAAAAAAAGTTTAAAAATCAATATTCCTGAGACACGAATCAATGTCTATTAATTATAAGATAAAAGTAAAAAAATATTTTTTGATTTTGATGAGATCTTGAGGTTCCTTTTTGGATTCTAAATCCTTGATGGATCCTAATATTTTTGAATTTTTTTTCTTTCTAAACTATATCAACCTTGGACTTAAAAGAAGCAGAAAACAAATTTTTGCCTGAGCTGCGATATAGAAAATATCAGTGATTAAATCTTAATATAAACATTAATATATTTGTAATGATGCGGTCTTCTTAAAGATACTGGAAAATTACGCCAATGTAAATTTAAAGTTAATAATATAATATTTTGTGGTTTTTAATTTTATATAAAAAATGGATGATATTTGTAAATTATAGATTCGCAGTCATATGTAAGTAAAACAACTATAAACAAACCTATTGCACCTCCTAACATCGAGTGCAATCCTGCCCGCTTTCTCTATGCTATCTTTCTAACACAACTACTTCTGTCTTTCACTCTAACATATCTTCGTTCTTCCTAAACTCACTTTACTCTTGGTCCGTAGAGTGGGTTATGCCGCTCCTTGGGGAGTCGAACCTGTCTTTACGGGCCTTGGTAATGTGGCCTCTATATGAGAATTAGCCGGAGGAGGATAAACCACAATACCAAACAACTATAAATAAACAAGTGAATTTATTAATGTCACAGGGAAACGTTTAATAATTCCTAACAATATATATAAATATATAAATATATATATATAAATATATATATATATATATATATATATATATATATATATATATATATATATATATATATATATATATATATCTACATAATATGTAGATAAGTAAAGTAAATAAATTGACGAAGGTATGTGGGTAAATTCTGGAACGTTGGAAAAAGGATAAATAAAGAAACTAAAAACAACTCATTAATTATGTTTCTCTAAAATAAAATATAATATCTCAGTTTTAACATAAGCAACCTGAAAAGCGCAATAATTTCTTTATATTTAAAATATAAAATGTAAGACAATGAAATAAATGTCAGGAATTAATTCCGCCACCAATTTTTTCAAACTATCAGGTTGAAATAAATGTAATAAAAATTAATGTAACTTAAATTTCTTTACAACATATTGAGTCTAACACAAGCTAGTTATTTTAGTTCATTTACAAATACTTTTCATTTAGATTCTAAACTAATAAACCAAAAATAAACAAACTTATTAAAAATTAAGATAATTAGATAATACCTAATTAGTATACTCGGTTTTATCTTTTAGTTTATTACCCAGTGTAACCACTGATTCTAGCAACTTCACCCCAGTAGCCTGAAACTTAATTTCTATAACTTTTTTTAAAAGAACTTTTATTTCTGTAAGCTCCTTGAGAATAACATTTTGCATCTCTACAAACAAGAATAAAAAGATTGATTAACATATTTAGCTCATAACCAAAAAGCAAAACAATGCAATAACAACTTTAATATTCAAATTATACTTGAGTAACTCAAACTAAAATTCCAAATTACATGTTATTTTTTTTATTACTCCATCGCAGAAGTTGCCATAATATTTTGGAAAACCTACTTTTTAAATCAGCTAAATTTTATCCGTAGAATCAGACAAAGGCAAACGAGGCAGATTGGAAACCTAGTAAAAAATAATTTTGACTAAATAAAATACTTTGCAATAATAATCTAATAAAAAAATAATCCACTTAAGTTATAGGTAAACCCACTGAAAATAAATCAAACATTCAAGTTTTACAGAAATTCTTATTTAATTTTGACAAATAAACAACAACAAATAATATTTAGATTTATGTCAAACCGTTACTGATAACCAGGTGTGTGGAGTTGTAAAAAAAAAGTAACGACTCCGAAACCAGTTGTTGAAACTTTTTAAGTACAACTCCAACTTCGACTCCAGTTTTTGAGCACAACTCTGACTCCATCTCCAACTTCGATTACAACTCTAAATCAATATTTTAGAAAAATTTTTTAAATTCTTTAAAAAATATTACGGGATAAGTTAAAAAATTTTTTTTTGACAAATTTATGAAACGTTCTTTGAGGTTTAGTATAAACATAAGGTTAATTGAATGTTTTGTACATGCACGTCCAATACCGAGAAGTTTTACTATTGGAGTCGGAGTCGCAATTTTGTTTAGCGACTCCGACTCTGCTGAAAATGTCAACCCCGCAACTCGGACTCCACAGCCCTGATGATAACTTTCATGTATTTTTCTTCGGGCTTGGCTCAAAAGCAATTCTTGATATCTCCTCCTGTAAAAGGTTACGTTAAAGAATTTTGTTCAACTACTAAAGGTAATGTTGACCAAATGCTACACACATGATTTATCAGATCACAATATTATAAATAATCCATTTCTATTCTACTATACTTATCTTTTACAATTATTTGAGAACAAAAACAAATTGATAAAAAAGACTTCCACATTAACATTCAGTGGTGTAAAAACCAAAACTACTCACATTAAAACTTGAAACTCTTTGACAATGTGAACTTTGCTTGGTTTTATTGTGTTTATCAATAAAATGTGCAGAAAAAACATCTTCTTCAATCTCTGAATCTGATAACAACTCTATTCAAAAGAAATAATTATAATTTGAAATATAAATAATCCCTCAACCATACCTGTTACTTAATTTAATCTTTCAACCAATTTTGTACTCTTTCAGTTTCTGAATTCAAACAATTTCAGCATGCTTTCAATTGATTTTCAATTTTCATATCAAGTTGATTAAAGGATTATTTAATACAATAGAATGTTGTCAATGATATAAATATATGTAACCAATTTAACAACATTACATATAATAGGACACCCAAATAGTTAAAATAAAAATCTTAGTTATACATAAAAAAGACTAATAGCTAGATAGATATTATTCAGATCAAATTAAACAAGAATCTATTTCAGTTTAAAAACCATTAAGAAAAAATTATGATATTTGTGTTATACACTTTTAGCATTGGGCTTATTCATAATAGGTGGCGAAAGTTCTGGCAATGAAGAGCGATATGATTTGTTATTCTTATTTTTAATGCTTTCTTTAGCATATATCTCATCTGATGTAGAAAGTTGTATTCTTCACAACATAAAAATGAATCTAATTATAAAACATTTTGCTACAAAAAAGTAATTAAGTTACCTTTAAAAAAAAAACACAAAACAGTTTAGATAATGACCATCTGTTATCTTACATTTAATCAATGGAAATTTGTGCCATTCTTTTGTTGACGAAAGGTTGTTTTTCAGTGCATGATTATAGTTTTTTTGGGACAATAAATTTGTTGCTATTCTTTGTCAATTCACTTGTTTAGTGCAACATTACTTGGTTAGAAAAAAATGCAGAAAAACTTTCCTTTAAAGTTGGCTTATGCTTATACTCATTAGGCTTTTGGTCATAAGAGTATTCATTGTACAAAATCGATGACTCATGATGGTCAAAATATTCTTTTAGATTTTCGCAAGATAAAAAATCACTTCTATTAGAAGTTCTAACATTCGATTTTTTTTTTATATGTACTGATGAAATTTCTAGTATTTTTTAATATTCCTTTTGGACACGCCTACTGCGTCTCTTTTTGTATGCCCGTTTTGTAAAAGACATAAATGAATCTTGGTTCCTCGATAAAAACGATAAGTGCACAACCAATAAAACAATCTTTTGTGTTATTGAAAGTTACTCATATATATATATATATATATATATATATATATATATATATATATATATATATATATATATATATATATATATATATATATATATATATATATATATATATATATAAAGATATATATATATATATACATACATATATATATATATATATATATATATATATATATATATATATATATATATATATATATATATATATATATATGTATATATATATATATATATTTATATATATATATATATTCATATATATATATATATATATATATATATATATATATATATATATATATATATATATATATATATATATATATATATATATATATATATATATATATATATATTCATATATATATATATATATATATATATATATATATATATATATATATATATATATATATATATATATATATATATATATATATATATATATATATATATATATATATATATATATACATATATTTTAATTACATTATCTTTTATTCTAGAAATAAAAATATCAACTTGAAAATATTAATTTTATATTTCTGCAAAATAAATTTCAAATCACAAGGATTTTAGCAAACATGCTAAGCATCAAATCATAGAAATATTCTGTGAAATATAATAGCATGTTATTTTATTATTTAAAACTTATCAAAAGAAATAATCATTAATGTCTTCCATAGGTTAAAATCTTCATGATTTTTTCGAAATAAGATTTCGGAAAGTTTTTGAATGGCGGTCATTTATAATTATCGCCTCGTAAAATTAGTTAAAATG